CTCATGCAAAGTGCCAATGTTAAAACTCCTTTTTAATTATTTTTTAAAACGTACCTTGCAGAGTAGTGGACTTCCATAGTGTTTCTGATATATCATTAATTTTGTTTAGCCCATATCCACCTTTGTTTTCCCTTACTTCCATCCCTGTTCTTACTCGAACCATTAATTAACCTTCAGAATTTTCCATTCTGTTTGCACATCATATGTATTCTACTCTCACTCTCCTTGATAGCCCTTTTTGTCCCCATGACCCCTTTCTAGTTTCCCGATATTCCATCTTTGAATTTCAGCACTACAGGAAATGTGATGGTCAGAAAAAAAAATGGACAATTAGCACAAAGTATCATTTCTTTTGTTTGAGATTTTATCTTTAATAAACAGATGGCTTCAGGAGCGTAGATTATGGCTAACCATGTTTTCCTATTTTGCAGTAAAAGAAAGAGCTTTTACCTTGATGATCCAATTCCATGTTTTGAAGATAAAAAAAAGGAATATTTCATTTAGAGACAAATACTCAGCAAAGAGCTATTTTGATTTTAAAAATTGGTTTCATAGAATCAATATTTGCCAATATTTTATTCTAAGTTCAAGTTTATTTGTAGTTTACTTTAATTAGTGGAAAAATTTTGCTTTCTATCTATACCAATGAAAAAGTTGAAATCTGGTCGCAGAATGGAGTCCAGACCCTCAAAGTCTGTTCTCTAATACACAAATGAATTCACTAAATAAACACCTGTGTTCCATTTTGTTATAATATGAATCTGAAAGTTTTCAAGAAAATACAAATTTATAAGGAAGCAGCTTACCTAAGAGAAATTTAAGAATCATTCAAGTTGATTTAATTTTTATTTGAGAAATATAAAAGTAACTATTTCACAGCTAAAACAAAGATGATAAAAACTCAGGATTTTATTAAAAATATTTCCGTATTATCAGTTTGCAGATGATGAAAATTCACAGATTGAAAAAATAATGAAAACATAGGCATATTCACAAAATCAAGAGAACCCACAGAACCTTGCACTTTTTGTCAATACAACATACATTAAGGAAGCACTCAAGGAAAGAAAACTGGGAGAATTACTAAGATGTAAGGCTTAATTGAATGATCATGCTCACAATAATGCATCGGACATAAGTATAAATTCCTCTACTGTCTGCTTGTTAATTATTGTGGTGGAGTCGATGTGTGTTAACAACAGTGCATATTATAGTTGCTTGGCAAGTTTAGGGGTCCTGCTCTGTGACTCCTATCACCATTCTTCCCTTTAGGAGGACTAGCTTTAGTGTGGAGTGGAACGAGAGAAGGAGAACTTTGAATGTGATGTATCATCTCATTGAAGGAGGGTGAATACATGCTTATGCTAAGCTATGGAGAAATCACATTGAGAGTCTGCTGTGACTTATGCTGGGTGGTTTTGATAGTTTCACCAAAAGAGAAAGATTATTTTCTAAGAGGAGCCAAATAGAGCTTAATGAAATTATGAGAAGAGCGAAGCTGTTAAATGTTTTAGAAAAGGGTGAGGTGGAAGTTAGTTTTAGCTCCAGTAAGAAAACCTTTTCTAAACGCTATTGATTGCTCAGAAATATTTCAGAAATTCAAATGGGTAGAGTAATAGTTGTACCGTTAGGAAACTGTTTTATGCTTTGGAATTTACGGGTTGGGTTATACAGTGGTAGAAGTCTATTTTATGGGTTTATGGAACCAGGAATCTTCAATATTTCAATTTATCAATGGTAGAAAGGCAATGTGCACTATTGAATATGATATTTAAAAAGGTCTGTGACAAAGTCCAGATGAGAATAAAGGAAACAAAACCAAATGAATATGAGAAGAGAAACCTTAAATAATTGGACAATAGCCCCCGCTTTCCACCTTTCCAAAATAAATATTATATAATGACTTTATTTTGCGTATGATTTTTAATGAGCTACCACATTAAATAAGCTGATTAATGCCAGTTTCTATGCTATGATAATTTGCACCTCTGCCTAACTGATGTATTTTTCTGAATATCTTTCCACTCATTCTCTGATGTTCTGATAATGGGCTTAGTAACATTATGTACTTCATTTACTTGTCGTAGAAATTTGCTTTCACTGTTTCTCCTGTTAGACTTATATTCCTCTAGCTCCTTCAGATATAATTCTCACCTCACTTCTCAAAGTTCTGCCAGCTCTGTAAGCATTTTACTTGCTTGCATTTTCTAAAAGTGCTTCCCGTTGCTCTGTGTATTCTTCCTTAGTGATGCCAGCACCGTGTCCCACATCACCTCTTTTTCTTCTTTCTTATTATATTTCAGTGATTAAAATGTGAGCATGAAGTGATGGAGTCTTTGCTTTTGCTGTAAAATATCTGCAGAGTTGCTCACCATATTATAGTCTAAACTCTTGAGAGAAGTTCTTTTAATGTTTCAGTCTTAGATACTGACTTCTTCAGGCTCATACCTGCTCAACTATTGGTTATGGCCCCTGTGAGAACTATGATAAAATCATGGGGTATGGTGGTATGTATAGATGCAGAAGGAAGGAAAATTAAAGAATCGGTGCTCACTGGTAAGGACATGGAATTGATTGAAGCCAATAAATTTGCAAGCTTTTAAAGATAAAAGAGCACCACTTATATATAATTATTGGCCTCAATTTTACAGAATTATTTCAGTGCCCTCCCTTCATGGTTGGCTAAGTTTTATTTTCATAGAACTGGTTGTTTTAGTAAGAGTAGCCTGGTCTCAGTGTATGACGAAACTGAGTGAAAAGATCACACAGTGAAATGCATTTCAAATTTTAATGTTTTGGCAAGAGATATTTTGGTTCTTATCTCAGAATTGGTACTGAAAGAACCTCAGTTAGGCAATACAGTCAACATAGTTCCATAATCTAAAACTGGCACATCCAATGCAATGCACAAAGAAAGAGTATTAACAACACAGAAAATATCACACTCTCGCACTTTATTTTGGCTCAATATTGTTGTCTTTTCAAGAAGCATATAAGGGAATGTTGATAGTAGGAGACGACATGATGGATGGGGAAACTATGCAGAAATCAATTTCTACTCAAACCTATGAACAAAGAGAAAGTAACAACTTATTAAAATATATGTACTATCAAAATATATACAATATGCACAGATATGTCTGATTTATATGAACATTCAAACATACTGAGTGGCCAGATATAATTCTTCATAATTAACACTAATAGATGATAAAGTGATTTGATATACTAATGCTACCAAAGTAGCTGCCATTAATTATTGATTGTCTAGATGATACTTAGGGTCTAAATTCTTCAATGCATTTTATAAAAAGTATTATATGTAATTTTTCTAATAATTGAGAAATATTTACACTACCCGATCCACCACTTAGATGCTAAGAAGAAAATATTATTATAAATGGCTTAAATTTTTTTTTTTTTTGGTTTTTTGAGACAGGGTTTCTCTGTGGTTTTTGGAGCCTGTCCTGGAACTAGCTCTTGTAGACCAGGCTGGTCTCGAACTCACAGAGATCCGCCTGCCTCTTAAAATTTTAAAGAAAGAAACTACATAGAAATAAATCTTCACAACTACCTATCAATCTCTCTGTACAAAAGCTGGACAGATATATCTTCTTCAAGGAAGACATTTTGTGTGAAATATTAAATGAAAATATCAAGTGTATACCAATATTGACACTTATGCTTTTGACAATTTCTGCCCGATGTTATTACTTCTGTTTGAACCAATTTTGTTCGACAAAGGAATTTTTGTATAATTTATTTTTAAGTACCCATAATTAGCACATGTATCCAAGTTACACAGATAACTAATTGGCAACTCAAGAATTTAGAACAAAACTTCAAATACATCAGTGAAGTTTTGGTAAATAGTTGTGTGATTTTTCTCAGGTTTTGAATGCAAAGCTTTTTAAGTGTGGCTAAAAGCATTGCTTATGTTCAGGGCCAAAATGTATTACCTATGGCTAGGATACAGCAGTTAATTCAAGAATCTTAGCAGTATCTCTGAAAGAAGAAGGAAGTACAATGCATTTTAACTCCCTGAGGATATTTACTTTTCACCTCATGGACCTCATATATTCCTTAAGCATCTCACATTGAACCTAAAGTATGAATTTTACTTTCTGTACTGAAGCTTGTTTAATGATTGCCTCATGCCCAGAGACACAATCCAAGAAGCAAAAGTTGGGAGTATGCTGAAAATAACTGTCACATATGGAACTCAAATCTAAAGGTTTTAATGTCACTAATATTTATACAAAATTTTAGTTTCTTGTTCCATAGTTTACTCTGTTCGGCACTGTAGGAAAAGCATCCTAAGCCCAGGGCTTTTATTAAGTGGTTGGAGGTAGAACCACTGAGTACTGCTTCACGTTCACTCTGGTCATTTAACTTTTGAATTCTTTTATAAAATTAAAATTAATAATACTCAATGTTTCTACCTCAATAAATAGCTAGAGTAACCTAGAGGATATTAATTCTCAAAAAACTCGAGATATAGAGAAGGCTCAACAATTAAGACTTCGTGTTTTTTTTTTTTCCCAAGAACCAATTTATAACTGCCTATAGTTCCAGCACTAGGGAGATCCAGCACCTCTACCCATTGTGGACACATGCAGTCACATGCACTTGTCCACACAGACACACAAGCGACATATCATTAAAATAATACAAATTAAAAGGGACGATTTTTGTCTACTTCTTAGTCTTTAATTTTCCTGGAAAATGCTCTATGTAGGAAATTAAATACAATATCAGTGCAGGTCTTTGTTATTGGTGATTGTTACAATCAACAATTAGTGTTCTTGATAGAATTCTAAGGACTTAGATTAAATAATATGATTTTTAGATGTCCTTGAAAATTTAAATTTAAACTATTTTATTTTTGTGTAAAACATATTTCATGTTATTACATAACTTTTCTTGCAAAGCCAACAATTACAATTTTTATTATATTTAACTGTATTATTTATATACTAATATTATATTTTATCGTATCGTCACAGTGCACATACCACATAGGGAGCATATGGGTAGGAGTATGGCCTATTCCAGTAGGTCACAGGTATCTGCTGTTGATGAACAGCCTGGGGGAACTGGGGGATGGTGAACTGATGAAATTGGTTATTCTTGATCTAAAAGGAATAAAAATATTTAAAAAAATCACTCAATAATCTCCTCTTTGCTTCCAAAACAGAGAGGAACAAAAGTTAGTAAATTCTAACTCCAGCTACATAGGCACTAAAAATAAAAGTGCAATTTATTGTCTTGAATTTGGTTTTAAACATTTTCTTGGAATTGAATGGTGCAATAATTTAAATAAGAGATTTATGATTATGTATAAACTAATTGAATTATACAAGGAATTCTTATCATCAGGAATATTTATATCATATATATTTTGATATATGATACCAAAATATATTAGTAAGATGAGAAATTTATTAGAAATTGTAACTGCAGAAAAATGTGATCTTTTAAATCTATTGGTTAGTTTTTGATTTATCAGAAAATGTAATCATTTCACTAGATGAATTAGTAGAAATGTCCTTCAGAAATAAATTGGACATAAAAGTTTGAGGGTAAGAGATAATTAAATTTGTAATGACTCAGAATTATAAACTTTCATTTGACAGGAAAGTTCTTATACCAACACAATCATTATTGTGACAGGTGAAATGAAGCCAGCAACAAAGAATGTTATAAAACCAATGTAAAATACAAAAAATTCGAATGTATACAAGTACAAATAATTTAAAATTTTTATTGACAGAATCACAGGCAACTAAAGGTAAGATTTTGAATAATAAGCCAGTAAAAATTTACTTTCACACATCTAAAATAATCTTATCAATAAATGGCGTTTCTAAGTATGCTCCTTCTTCATATTATAAACATTTTAAGTCACATGCAACTGCATAAAACTAAAATAAAAAGAAAAAACTTACAAAATCAATAATCTTCTTCAGGAGTTCCTTAAAGAAAGAAAACACACATATGACATACATACTGAATTGAGCACTTTATGCTTTGGCCAAATTTATTCTTAGATATAGCAAAACTTGTCCATCTGACATACACACGCAGAATGATTTGTTCACTGAATTACGTCTCAGTTTCGCAGATAATAGAAGCACATCTCTTTATTTGAGTACTCACTCTAAGTTGAGTTTGCGCATGTTACTCATTTTTTCTGATGTCTAGAATCTTTTAGGTGAGATAATGCTTGTTTGTGCTTTAAATAAATGAATAAATACATGTGCTTAATTTTTATTAGCATACTAAACCATTTTAAATAGCACCCTCTTGTTGCAATTATTCTAAATAAGTATTTGCATATGAAATATCCATATCGATGCCTTGAGTGATTTTATGTACAAATTGTGTTTTTTTTTTTTTTGGATTTTTCGAGACTGGGTTTCTCCGTAGCTTTTGGTTCCTGTCCTGGAACTAGCTCTTGTAGCCCAGGCTGGCCTCGAACTCACAGAGATCCGCCTGCCTCTGCCTCCCGAGTGCTGGGATTAAAGGCGTGCGCCACCACCGCCCGGCTATGTACAAATTGTATGAGAGACATTTTCAGAAAAATTTGGTAAATCTTTGCTTGGTTAAGAAAGTCTACTAACAATACATTTAAAACGGGGTTTTATAACTATCAAAACCACTAAATAAGGAGATCTTCATTTCTCATGGGAAATAACTTGGTTTATCAACTTAATTCTTCAGGCTTTCATGCTAAATAAACAACTCTTTTCTAATAAACAACTACAAAATTAAAAGCGAAACTTTAAAAGTTTATGCAAGTTTGATAGTCATGACTCACCTGTACAGCAATGGTGATGGATTCCTTAAAAAAGAAATAAAAATAATACACTAAATTATTTCTGTAGTAAAATATTACTTACTCTAGTGTCCTTCTCACTCATCATAAATAAGGCACAAGAAACTAAAATCTAGATCAGTTGTTGGATGGCACTCCAGGTGTCTTTAGGCAAGGGGCACATGACATCACTAGGGAGAGCTTTTGAAACCAGCACTGATATGGGAACTTGATTCCATACTTGAGAAGGACAGCTCACAAGGCTGAGGATGGACGCCACAACTCTGTTCAGTGACTGCCAACAAAAGAGGCAGCGTTGACTCTTTTGTTCTGGTCCAGTACGGTGTAACTATCTCTTGCTAAATTTAAATGTTACTTCTTTCTTCTGTCCCCATAAAGATTTTTACCAATGTTATATAAAATTGTATGTTTCTATAAATCTAACCTTTTACATAAAATAATTTTAATAAATAATTCTTCTGTGGGGTTATCTGGTATTGAATTTAACTGGGAAAAATTTAACTCAGAGGTGGTGTCTTATTCTTGTTCTGAAAACACATAACTGTTTTCGGTGTGTGACCTACTTAGATACACACGTAGAATGTCCCTTTCTTGGGGTAACTTACTTCAATTGGTGCTTTCTTAAAAAAAAAAAACCTCATTGCCACGTGTAATAGCTGCATACAAATGATTCTACATTTGAAAAAAAATACTTTTTCCAAATGTATTTCTTATTTTGAGAATTCTTTTAGGGTGTGGTTACGTATGATAGCATTGTCATATTTAAAATTGTAGAGTCCTGTGTATGGAAATGTGATAAAGAATGCTGTAATATTTTAACATTCTTATGTATTTCACAGTTAAGGAAATATATACTTAGTTAAATAAATGTTGAAAACAATGATATGAAGCAGGTATCACCTACATTCTTGAGTCTAGAAGAAACGACCAAACATTTTATTGGTATAAATAGTTTAAGAATTAAAATGTGACAATGGAATATTTACCATTTGCTTATAAACTTATATTTACTCCAATCAAGAAAAGCAGTTTTTAAGAAGACAAATATCAAACAAAATGATAAAAGACAGTTATTAAGACTAGTTTTAACCGAGAGAGAAGAAACTAATATACTACCTATAAAATATCATAAAGTACCCTCTTTTTAAAGTTTTATATATACAAGAAAAAACCTCCCAATGGGGTAGCAAAACCCAGGAGATTACATATGTACATAAATATATATATTTGTGCTTTGTAAGTAACAATTTATTAAAGATTAAAAGTCATTAATTTGAGGAATGGGACGGAGGAGGAAGGGAAAGATGCAGACTCATTACTCATATATGAGATATTCAAACACATAAACATGAAATATTATTATTGTGAGAAGGATTTATGCACTAATTTCTTGTTCTGCTCTGGGGAGGAAAAAATGTCCATTTGATTCTTGGCTAACAACTGAGATCTACTAACTAATCTACAATCTTTGCTTCCCAACACTGCCATCTCCTGGACATAGTAAAACCCCAAAGCCTTTCTATTTCAGATGCACAGGATTTTATTGTTTAAGATGTTTCATAATCATCCGGCATTCAATACAATACATTAATGCTTATTTGGTTTAATGATAGTGATGGCTTCTTACTTTCTAGGGGAGAGTTAGAAAGTAATGTACACTCCAAACACAAGAAACAGAGAAGGGTGGTCATGTCTGCAAGGTCGTTTACCACATAGCTTATGTTTGGTAGTTCAACAGCTGGCTCTCTGTACACCAGATTTCATACCTCAAGCTATAGTTACGATCCTACCTCTGCATTGTTTGCTACATGACACCTACTACTCCTGGTTCAAAGACCTCTCTAAGCCAAAAGTCTTATTGAAGTGGCAACATCAAATAGAACTTTAACAACTGGATGAACTTCTTTAGACTTCAGATTACTTTTCAAAACAAAGATAATATTCTCAGCTTCACAGATTTACTGTCATAGCCATATCATATCACACATGAATACATATTTGTGAGATTTATATATAATTTACCTTTCTAAAAATTATTAATAGTGCTTTTTAAATAGTAATTTGTCTCTATGGTTTGTTTTAATTTACATTCCAGAAAATGTTATAAAAAATTCATTTGGATTTTACTTTCTGTATTTAAACGGATTGGAATTTTTTACTTCAGCTAATTAGTTTTAAAGTGAAGGTAATAGCAAAAACAACACAAATAAAAATGCACCGCTCACCTGGTTGGGAATGTTACGGATGGCCTTACCCTGGGCCCACTGGTTCAAATTGATCTGCTGTTGGGGAACAGGTGTGCAAAACTGGGAGCAGGAAAGGTCCTGGGAAAACTGCTTGATTTTTTTCTAGAAGAGAATAAATGTACCAGTGTTTATGTAGTGCCTTTCTCTGTGGGTCAGAGTGTATCTGTATGATGTCAAATTTATATAAATATCAAGTCTTTAATTTGTTTACTAGGGTTTACTAAGCAAAAGACATTTCGTTTTGTAATGCAATGTAAAAGTGAATGAAGTGAGTTTTAGAATAGAAGTCATTATTAGATTAGGGTTCTAGAAGGAAATTTTTACGTAAAGGGCAAAATGCTACGTAAAAGTGGAAGAGTTGTCTAGGGAATGTTTGACATGGCTATTTCCTTTTCTCTTCACATTTGTCTCAAGAAGTTTGATGTCTGCTCCCTGAAATCGTGATATTTATATTTTCTTGGATATAGTGTAACTTCTGAATATCTTACAGCATCACTGTTTCAGTAATCACGTGAGCTGATGGATGCAGTGGCTTATATACTAACTATCTAAATGCCCCTCCTGGATTGATCCAATTTTATTTGGCTGTGGCTAGCTGCCTACAAATGATTGTTTTAAAGATGAGACCACACAAAAAAACACATTTATTTTCAGAGACTTTTCAGTCCATACGGATAATAATAGAGTGTATGTGTAGACGAACATTGATGTATCTTTGATTCGTTGTCATGTCAGATGCGCTGATACATGAAAATGGTATAAGTGCATAGTGCTATCAGGGTATAGACACGGTGTGAAAAAAGAGTTTTTAGATAACTGTTTGTTTAGAATAGATTATTTTACCTTGTTTTTAATAGTACAATGTGCTATTTTGCTACAATAGTCTTAGAAAGGATTTTTCTTCTTGTATAAAAACAATGATTGGGTTTTTGTTTATTTATGCTTGCAAATTTCTATGACACAGCTAGCAGTTACCCTCTAGCATCATTTTAAAAACCTGCTGCTGTGGTGATCATAGTTCATTTTGGGTTAAGGAAGATGTAGCCTGGAGGAGTTCAGTAACTGCTCAGGGAGTTAAGGTTGAAAAGGAATTTGCCTGGTTTCAGTCCTCTCATTCTTTCTTGCTCTGCGCATTCTGATGTCTCGTGGCAATGGGCTTCATCACCATTTGTTCCTCAGAATGAGAACATTTAGTAGCATTTGACCTTAAATCATCTATCTTTTTGTTCGTTCAAAGAGAAGCACTTTGACTTATTACGTAAATGATACGTTACACAAATATCTGAAGGAAAACAGTTAAAACACTTTTTCTGAGTTTTAAAATTTAGTAAGATTGCCTGTTTTTTGGTTAAAATTCCATATTTGAAGATATTATTCACGTATACGGTAACAGTTTTGTCAAAATTTGATATTAAAGATTTTATTGGGAAGAAATGATATGATCATGATAAGCTTACCTGCTCATTCAGGTTGACCTTTTGTTCTTCAGACTGCACAATTTTCTATTGAAAACATTACATATATCAGAGAGATACAGACAGAAATGTTGTTAATAAAATAACTTAGTTGAATTATAATTGCTCACATCATTGATTTCCTCAGCAGATTCCTAAAAAAAAAGAAAGTAGCTTTACTTTAATTATATAGCAATAGTTAAATATAAATTATTTTAGTAGGCTGTCAGGGGCAATTATTTAAATATTCAGAATCCAACCACCCAGGACTAAGATATTAAGCCACTTAAGAATGAAATAAGTTAAATATTTATCAGAACTTTCTAAATTTCCTTTTTTTCCTCTACAAAAGTAATAGCACAATTAGAAAATATTTAATTCAATACTTTTTTAGTACTACATTATTCAGATTTTTTTTTAATTTCTGCACATGAAATGCAGGCAAGTGATCAAGATAAATAAATAAGAACAGCCAGGAAGTTAACTTATGCTTGTAATCCAGCATAGCCTGTAAACTTAAATTCTGAGAAAGGCTGAGACCTCTTTCCTGAGACATTGGCTGTGAAGAGTTTAGGCACCATCCAAGGTGATAAGGCTCCAGATTATGACTCAGTTTAGTGCTGCCAGCCCTTTTCAAACATACTTCAATCTGTCAGCATTATCAACCAAAGGTATTTGCAACACACATAATAACTAACCCAAACCTTTTTCTGACTCTATGAAATGGTTCTCAACATTTAATATGATAGTATGTTATTGAAGATTTAGTAAAAATGTGGAGTTTTTAGTTCAACCCAGAGTTCCTGATTCAGCTTCTTATGTAGTCACATGTATAGCAAAGAACAGGGTATAATAAATATGATCTTCTGAATTTAATCAATTTAAGGTAGGATGGAATATTTTGAGACTCTGTTCCTCCATTGAATATTTGTATGTATATCTTCCTTCTTGGAAATATCAAGTAATTATAGAACACTATGGTTAAGTCACTATTTCTCAAAAATAACACAAAAGAAATACTAACTTACCTCACTGGATGAACTGCTAGCAGAGACCTTGATAAATAAATTAAAAGTAAAACAAAAAGGAATTAGTGACATGAAGATAGGTTTATCAACAATATTCCTCCAGAAGCAGGAACTACTTTAGCTTCATACCATATTGATTCCCCCGCATTGCTAATATGCAAAATGAGAAAGAGGATAGAGATAAAACACTAATTATGTGATATTCCTCTGTGTATTCTATGAATATGTTTTATTACCACTTGTTAATAAAGAAGCTGCTTTGACCTATGGTAGGGCAGAGCTAAGCAGAGAAATTAAACTGAATGCAGGGAGAAAGAAGGCGGAGTCAGGGAGGTGTCATGTAACTGCCAAAGGAGAAAGATGCTAATAATCACATAGAAGCATTGTTAATCAAGTATAGTTAAGATGAACAAAAATCCTCCACTATCTCACCTGTTTTTATTTGGGGTTTTCTAAAAGAATTAGGCACATTGTCCCTACAATATTATTTATGAAGTAAGAGAAAACCCATTTTCCTAAGGAAGAAGTATACTAACAATCTCCACTTTATGGGGTTATATCAAAATAACCCATTAAAACGTGGTTTTGAAATGAGACACAGATATCCTTGTGGGATCTTCTTACCTTAGTGCATAATGGCTGCCTAAGATTGTAAATACATTGACCTTTTGGAGTTCAAAGTTGAACAAATAACAGTCAAATGTGCAGCACATTGATTAAAAAATGAATTTTACCTGAGCTGTTTGGAAGAATGCATCATTGGCCTGCTTATACTTCTGAAAAGAAATAAATGACATTAATTTTATAGCCATATTACTTGAAAAAATACTTTAAAATATATTTAATATAAGAAACTATGACTTACTCCTTGGTATATTCTGGTAGGTTCCTTAGAAAAAAAATGAAAATGCATTTTGATTACTTTCTAATTCTTTACCCATACTTCCCAAAGTATTGATGAGCACTGACTATTGAATCCAAGTGTTTATAGTAATTATTTTTAAGATGACAGCAGCAAAGAGAGAAGGAACAGTTTTTCTTTTTAATCTTTTAAAATTCTTTCTTTGATTTTTAAGTAAAATCTTGGCAGAAAGCACAGCTATTTGTTGGTGCCATTGAACTAGAATCTGTTAGTGGAGCATGTGAAGAAGGCACCCATCGACTGGAGCCCTACCCAGGTGCAGATGTGCCTGCATTCAGTACTCCAGACGTAGATGCAACAAATCACCATAATTATTCGCAACAATGGGAGTCCTAGACTAATGTCAGAGTTACTGAAAGATGGGACAATCAGCATAGGGAAGGAAAGTATGCAAGTTTGATGCTGTTGTATATTTGGGCTTATTTTCCCCATAATTTTTTATTTCAATGGATAAACTTTAATTTTCCTATGGATTTGTAAGGTGTTATTGCTACTCATAAAAATACGAATGAGCAAAGACATATAATTTACTATTAGGTGCCAGAACCAGTATTCATAATAAAATACCTTACCTCTCTGGATTGATCCTTTACCACCTATGTAAATTAAAAAAATGATTTAATTTTTTATAGCTTATTTAAAATGACAAGGTGTATCTTTTTTATTGATAAATGGCAGGAAAATTTAAAACAGTAGTTGAGGCAAGTGAAGTGACTCAGCAGTCATAGGTCCTTACTACCAACCATGACGACCTGAGTACATCTCCAGGACCGCACAGAAGGCAAGAACTGTTTTCCAACTCCCTTAAACTGTCTTGTGACTTCCTTATAATATGGCATGCACACCACACACACACACACACACACACACACACACACACACACACACACACACACGATTAAATAAAAATGGCTTAGATAAAAGAAAAACAGTTTGTTAGACAAATTTAGTAAAAAAGAACTCTCTTTGAAAAGTTATCTAAGTCTCAAATATCAGTACAGAACTACTTCAACACAAACACTTTTGACGAACTTTGGCTTTCTTTTGATAGTTACACTGATACACTGTTAGTTGAATGAGTTTTTATTGTTACTTTTTAAAAGAAACTGTTTAAGCTAATTATAAAAAGGTAAGAAAAAGGTACTGCTCCCCTATAACACTTCCAAAGCATGTTATTATTTTATCTGTATACAATAACTTCTGTGTCCTAGAGAGTTAAGTCTATGTTCAGAATGAGGATTGAGACAATGTTGAAAACAAAAATTATTGGTACTACCATGTATGTAGACTGAACTCCAAACTGTGTTAATAAAGTCTTTTCAAATGTATTTTCTATTATGTGCTCTTCATTTTATGGCATCATCACATCGTCATTATCATTATTATTATTATTATCATTTTTTTCAATTTTTGACAAATAAGTTGTATTCAAATCCAAGCTTACTAATACTTATTTCCCTTCAAGTCGTTTTTTGTTATAGTTATGGTGTGTGTGTGTGTGTGTGTGTGTGTGTGTGTGTGTGTATGTATTCATGTGCTTATATGCAGACAGGGGCATGCATTCATATGTGATCTGAATGTCAGTGCCTGCATTACCTGAGGCATTTCCCCTGATGTTATCTTATATTATTCACTGAGACAATATCTCTTTGTTGAATTCAGAGTTCTCTGATATGAACTAATCTTGCAAGTCTGCTTGTTCTGGAATTCACTGTCTTATGGACTTCGTTTTCCCAATGCTTGAATTCCAGGCTGGCAGCTGTAATGCCCACTGGAAGTTTATATGGATTCAGGGACTTCAAAGTCCATCTTTGTGCTTGTGTTCCAAGTGCTTTATCTATGGAGCCATTTGCCTGATCTATATGTCCTCATGTGTATTTTGTCACCATGAATTCTAAACTATTCTTTTAATTAAGAGTGACAAAATTCTATCAAGTTATTGACAACTGACTTTGGAATTTCAAATTATAATGGTGGTGTTTTCTTATACTTCCTGAGCACATGGAAAGCAGAAATGGCTTCTCCAGAAAGCTCTAACAAAAATTACAACATATTCTGGAAGGGAAACAACTCTTTTCTCTTATTGTCTACCCTTCTGCATCTTTTCATTGTTGACACTTTGTATCCTGATTGTCCTCCCTTGTACAATATAAAATCAATATAGTAAGAAATAGGATCAATACTATCACTGATATAGATTCCAAGGTAACAGGCTCAATCTCTATTTATTGTTGACAATGCCTGCATCTTTTGCATATAGTAAAAGGTTCATTCCTTTCATAATTCAAAAATGAAGCCATAGCGTCATGTATCCCTGTTCACTTACATGCTTCGCCAGAGCAACAGCCACAAGGCAGGTAAAGATGAAGAACTTCATGGTGGCTTGGTCCTGTAGAATCAGTATAGAAAATTACTATTAATCTTATCATGAAATAATCATTTATCTGTTATTATACATGTAAGAATAAAGGTAAGGAATTGAATAAAATAGAATATGTTTGGGAATTTTATGAATATAAATAGAACTGTCACAATTGATTTTGAGACTTTCTTTCCCTAACAGGTGATACTTAAAACCATGTTTACTAAAATGTGAACGGTTCATTCAGAGACATCATAAATTCCTAGAGGAAAACTCAACAGAAGGACATTTTGTTAAGAATGATTGCTGGAAGGATGGAGTATAACAGAAATTCCTTTTGAAATTGGATTTTAGGGGAACTCAGGCATAAAGCCTTGCTTTCTAACAAAGAGAAGTAGTAGATGAAATGAGACCGGGTTGAGAGTCGGGGATCCTGGACATTCTGGGTCATCTCTGGCTAGAGACTGAAGCCGAAACAAGCTACTCAGTATCATCCGTCTTCATGTAACATGCCTGATGTGTGGAACCTCAGTCCACAGTCTCCGAGATTGCACCTAGCTAGAGACACGTCCACTACTATAGCTGCTGAGAAGTAAGTCTACAAGGTGCCCTGACAACCTGTGAACCAGTTCCGTCTCTCCATAGAACCAAATTAAAACTGAAATAAAGTTATTCTAACATCTTTTCACATTTTGCTCTGTAGGAATTCATTAAGTTAATTAATGCATTTGTTTTACATTCTGACTGCAGTTTCCTCTTCCTCCTCCCGTCCCAACCCCCACCCCCATTTGTTTCCCCTCAAATTGCTCCTCCTCTATTTCTGTTTGAAATGGGGCAGACCTCCCATGGTTATGAACAAAACATGGGATATCAAGCTGCAGTGAGACGAAGTACCTCTTATATTTAAACTGGTTAAGGTTATTGTTGAGAGTCTCACAAATGACCAAGCTACACAGCTGACACAGGTTTTAGGTGTTTCCCATGCAGGCTCCCTGGTTGTTGGTTCATACTCTGTGTGTTCCTATGAGCCAGCTCAGTTGTTTCTGTGGGTTTTCCTGTGATGTCCTTGATTCCTCTGGCTTACACAATCCGTTCCTTCTCTCTTCAGCAGGATTTCCCATTGTTGGCCTAATGTCTGACTGTGGATCCCTTCCTTTGTTTCCAATAGTTACTAGATGAAGCCTCTATGATGACAATCCGGGTAGTCTATACACAGGAGATGTCCTGTTCAGGTTATGCATACACTATTATAGCAGTCTTAACTGGGCTCATTCTTATAGATTCCTGCAACTTTCCCTCACATCAGGTTTCTACCTGATCATGAAATGACCCCGGCCTTTCCAGTCTTCTCTTTCAGTACTTTCCCCCTCCATCCATCCCCAACCTGTCCCTCAAGTTTCCATTCCCACCTACCACCAGTCCATGCAGGAGATCTCTCCTGTTTTCCCTTTCCAGTGAGATCCATATTTTTAAAGTTTACTTTTAAAATGTATTTTGAATGTTAGTTCTTAATTAGGTATTTTCTTAGCTTGACAGGAAAGTACATTTTACATAACTATGTTTACTAAGTGACGCCTATGTGACAATCACCGTGCTAGCTAGATATTTTATCATTTGCAATCTTTAGAATAATTTTATAATGTTGGCAGGCATGGAATTTTCTCTTCCAACTTCTTGTTGATGAAATTGGCTCAAAACCCTCAAGCAAAGTAAACAGTTGGTAGATTTTTAAGAAGCCACATTATCTTACCTACTCCTGGCTTAGAAATTAACCTGAAGATACAGTATCATAATAAAGTTTTTAATGTATACATTTTAAACTACTAAAAACTGAAAAGAGATAAATGTATAATTTGTATAAATTTAAAATTTGTATAAATTTAAAATACTTTAAGCAATGTGTACTGTGCTGATAATTTTGTTTTTACCTATATCTTAATTTTTATTGTGTAGAAGAGAAGAAGCAGAGTTTCAAAATTTTTTTGCTAGATATTCTATAAGAGAAAGAATATGTGAACTGTTACCTTGCTTCCCAAGTGGACGGCCAGAGGAATAGGTAGATGATGATCTGCAGTGAATCATTCTCACATTATTTAAACCTCATCCCATCATAATATGCTAATTCTGTGGTTTCAAATACCTAAAAAGACATTTAAATTCTAAGAAAGCACTATGATCAGAAATTGTCCTTCTGGCTTGTGTTTCACAGATTCCAAGGAGTCCTTAAACAGTTTGATTGAGACCATGATAACAGGGAGGAAAGCTTGTGATGTATAATGATTAATTGTATTTGAGTGCAACATCACCTTTTCTATGAACTAATTTTCTGATTCTAGTGTTGAGAAAGCATTCCTTCATTTATTATCATATTGTGAGCAGTAGATATTTGTGATCTCATTTCCATCTTGAAGCTTATTTTTAATTTTATTTCACATATATGTGTGTAGGCCCAAGTACATGTATGTGTACCGTGCACAGGCAGGAGCTCTCAGAGTCCAGAAGAAGCAGTTGGATTCAGTGGAGCTACAGTTACAGGTAATGGTGGCTCCTGTGAACCAGACGAAGATCCTATGTAGAAACAATCAGAACTCTAAACTGCACAGCCATCCCCCAGCCCCACAGTCTCATTCCTTGGTACTGTTTGACACAGTCATACACTTTCTTGAGAACACCACAAAATTCCATGTTATGGGGACTCCTCACTTTTTTTTCTGACTATGAAGTCCCTACCTTGGCATACTCTCAGGGAATGAATGATAAATAGCCACGTATCACTTAAGATCAGTTGACATTTTCAAACAGCGCTAAAATAGCCTGAAAATCTCATATAATAATTCCTTGTTTTACTTTAGTCTGTTTCTTCATATTCTTAGCTACAAGAATGTACAAAATTATGTCTAGTGTAGGTTGATACATGCGTATTTGATTGAACAAATGTTTAGGATGTCAAATATATTCTGGGAGTTCTGCACACTTTGAATGGAGTCACAAACACAAATTCCAGGATTTATGAGGTGGATACGATAACTGGGAGATGTAAAGTCATATTTCATACAGTCTATTTGGTTTGGTCATGACATGTTCTAAGCAGAAAAGTGACTCAGAAGAAGAGATAGGAAGTTTTTGTAGAGATGGAATTCCTTGAGGTGATATGCCCAGAAAGGCCTTCCTGAGCATAATAACAACTGAAAGATGCAGGAGAGCTGACAAAAGATTCTAGTCCAGGCCCTGAAATGAGACCATACCTTGATCTTTTAAAACAGCTCACGGAATAGTTGTGATAGAAGTGAGTAAAAGTCCTGAACCTGAACTCAAAAGAACAAACAGGATCAAAAAATACAATAGTATAAGAACATTTGTAGGACTTCCCAAGCCTTTCACTATGAAGTCAAACTTCTGTGACTGAGAACATATCAGAGAATAAAAATACCTCAACTAAATAACTAAAAAAGGGTCAAAACACATGAGACAGGGTTTTGAGATATCACCTTCTAAGAACAGTAGAAAGATCAGGAAGAAACCAAGCTAAGTACAGTGGTTCTCTCTGTTTATTATGTGGAAAGTGTTTATGAATGCCAAGAGAAAGAGAAAAGGTCTCAAGACAAAGGTTGATTGTCTAAGGTAGACATTCATGGTACAGGAAAAGACCAGCATCACAAATTGACATTGAATGCTGCAAGGGGAAAAATGTTGATTCCACACGAGCCCTTGAGAAGGACTTCTGAATGTTGATGCGGTACTGTGGGATCTTTCCAAGGCTTCATGGCAAGGATGGAATGTCCATGGAGTTTGGGAAAGAACAGGTGGGATAATGCCCAGAGCCCATGGAAGACTTGGACTAGGGTAACAAGTACGTATAATGCACAGGGCATTGTTAGGATTCTTAGAAAAGTATTGCTTCATTAATAGAACAAATGTCACTCAAAAACAAAGTAATTCCTTGTTCTGTATTGCTTAACAAGGCTGGAAGCAAGACTGTACAGGGAGAATTGTTTCAAAGACCTTCATTTATGATTCAGAACTGGACTCAAAGTATATTTGAAGTGAAAAATACATGACATCCCATAAATGATAAATTTACATTGTCTTTCATCCATTATAAAATCAACCTATTGATGTGGGAGTGATTTCTTATTAATAAAGAAACTGCCTAGACCCATTTGATAGGCCAACCCTTAGGTAGGCGGAGTAAACAGAACGGAATGCTGGGAGAAAGAAGCTGAGTCAGGGAGTCACCATGGTTCTCCCACTCCAGACAGACGCAGGTTAAGATCTTTCCTGGTAAGCCAGCTCGTGGGCTACACAGATTAATAGAAATGGGTTAGATCAATATGTAAGAGCTAGCCAATAAGAAACTGAAACTAATGGGTCAGGCAGTGTTTAAAAGAATACAGTTTCTGTATAATTATTTCGGGTAAAGCTAGCCATGCGGGCGGCCGCGTGCCAGGGACGCAGCCCTGCCGCTCGTAACACAACAACCTATGGGGTAAAATTAGAAAAAAATGGCTTATAATGAGGAAAGTTGATATAAGCAGACCCAGAATAGACAAATCATGGAATCAGTGATCGAGCAGATTAAATGCTGGTCTTTACAGTTGCACCTGGATGTCTAGATGCTTCACGTCCCCATGAGAGTCATTACACATCACTGGAATTATTCTGACAGCTAAACCACAAATAAAATTATAAGAAGTCTTCTGAGAACTTGGGATAGCTCAGAGGTATAGTATAAAACAGTGTACCTTATAAGGCTGGTTCAAAATCAGCAAAAGCAAAATGAACTCTCTCTCTCTCTCTCTCTCTCTCTCTCTATATATATATATATATATATATATATATATATATATGAATGATGTGTATGTTGGTAACCATAACTGGGCCCTTTTCAAGAGCAGTCAGTGGTCTTATGCACTGAACCTTCTCTCTTATCCAAACAATTTATAGTTTTATATGGGATCTTACTGGCAAGTGAAATTTGCAATTTTGAGGAAAGGTGGCTGAGCAATGAGCTTCTGATATCTGTACCTACCTTTCTAGCTCTGAGATTGCTAGTGTAGGCCATTAGTAATCTATGTTATTTTATGTGGGTGCTTAATCCTCATCCTTGTTTTGCATGCACTTTAAATAACAAGCCATCTCCAGCTCCAAACTGTCAAATTTTACCAGTAATGTCTTACATTAGTTATTTTAAAATACCAAATGGTATCTATTTTACTTTGTTCTTTCTCTTCCAATTTTCACCTCACTTCCTTATTTTCTTTTTTTAAAATATAATGCACATATGATATTAACTTTTTCTTTTTATAAGCTTTATTTACTTACTATGTATACAGTGTTCTGCCTGCATGTATGCCTTCAGTCCAGAAGAGGGCACCAGATCTCATTTTACATGCTTGTGAGCCACCATGTGGTTGCTGGGAATTGAACTTAGGCCCTCTAGAAGAGCAACCAGTGCTCTTAACCACTGAGCCATCTCTCCATCCCCATTTCCTTCTTTTTGATTCACCCAGACAACATCATTATGCACTTTTGTAATCTATTTATGATTCTTTTTTACCTAGAGACCAACAACCAAACTGAAGCTAACAAAGCACTGAGAAATAATCACATCCTTCCAGAGAAAAGTTGTAGTTAAAATCAGCAGTTAAATTTTACTCATTCGTATTTAGCTCAATCCATTGGGACAATACAATATTTCACTTATTTTTTTTTAAAGATGGAAGGTCAAGGAATATTCAAGGTATTTGAAGTCCAAGAGTATGGAACTATAAAAATAGTTTATTTTTTAGTTAATAATTATTTTTATTATCATTTATAATAAGTAATTAATTATTAAATGTTTTTTAATACCACCATCCAGAAACAAGGAAGATCCTTGTAGAAGATGATGGCTGAGCACAACAAAGAGTTCAGCACTACAGGTGGCTTTTATTGTCTTTGATCCACAACGTGGTACTTGTATCTTATAGTCTTTCTTTATAAGAGAAAAATCACTAAAGTGATGTGGATTTGCTATCAGCGTGGCATCAACAAGGTGGATTAATAATATCTAATTAGTAATTAAACAGGACTTGGTTCTTCATCTTTAAGTATGTATCCTTCAATTTCTCATAACATCTAAAAATTGCTACTCCATTAGAAAAAAATGCAAGTTTATTTATTTAGGAAAATATATTATTTCCCTGTTCAAATATAAGACACTTAAGGTCATATAATAAACAAGCCAATAAGTCAGGCAGATTTGGAGAACTTTATGAAAAAATTTAGACAAGACTACATTGGAATGAAATGACTTCATATACCTGCCATAAATTTTTTTCATTACCTTCCAAACTGGGAAAATAAGTGATAAAAGGTTGTCTCTTTTTTGTGGAATAATCCTTCTGTACACTGTGAATATGTATTGCTCTCATTGGTTAATAACAGCATGAAAGACTAGTAGTCAGACAGGATTAGAGATATGGGTCAATTTAAAAGTAATGAGCCTGAGCTATCAACTAAGCACTTAAAATTAATATAAACCTCTGTATGATAATCTGGAAGCAACTCCTGGAATGGAGGCTCTGCCTTCTTTCTTTTTATGGGGCAAGCATGAAACATAGGAATAAATACCATAACCAGAAAAAAAACTTGAAATTTATTGCTTTATTTTTGAAATGAATTTTAGTAAAATAGAATCATTAGTAACATCAGGTCAAAAATTATGAAGTTAAAGAAGTCTAACTCAACATGAATTGGAAAGCCAATTCATGAGGCAGAGAATACACCAACAGAGATCTTCATCCCAAATAATTGCATTGATTATTCAGTTGAAACACAATGCCAATTATTAGTGAACATAGAAGATGAGAAGCCTGGGTTGAATCAAACCTGAATGGGAGAAGAAGATAACCGGTTGTAACAAGAGACAAGGTTCTATAACGATAATTATAATACAGTATAATAAGAACACTCAGTACAGAAATAATGTTATTGACTATAAACTAGCACTAATTGCACATCTTACATGGAGCAGAAAATAAAATATTAAATAAGTAGAGTACATTTATATTAGCCAACTCCTACAATTTAAAATTCTTTTATACCCATCAAAAACTTACTTTATTCTTATAGAGCCCAGTCATTAACTTCATTTTCTTTGTTTCCAAATAACATTTCAATGTATCCTACAGTTTCATAACAACTTATTATAGAATCTGGGGCTGGGGAGATGGCTCAGAGGTTAAGGACATTGCCTGATCTTCCAAAGGTCCTGAGTTCAATTCCCAGCAACCACATGGTAGCCCATGCCTATCTGTAATGGGGTCTGGTGCCCTCTTCTGGCCTGCAGGCATACTCACAGACAGAATATTGTATACATAATAAATAAATACATATTAAAAGATATATAAAATCTGATGATTAAATGTTCATAAAGAGAATCAGAATATGAACATTTTATTTATTAGATCAGAAAATTCTCTAGTCATGTAGATAAATAAACTCTACAGCAGTGATAGAAAGTGTTGATTTTTTAAAAACTGTGCTCTAGCCTGGTTACTGCCTTAGTTCTTTTTTCTCTAACACTGCTAAAATTGATACATTTTAGTATTTGAGAATTTCATGCATAAACACAATAAATTTAGGCCAAACCTACACCCTTTCCATTCCTTCAATGTCTCTCCCACGCCACCTAAAAGTTTCTACTCACAACTTCATGTGCTGAGCTCATGTAGAGCTGCCTGTATATGCATGCATGTTGGAACATCTCTTGGACTGTGGGTAGTCTCAGAGGAGCCACGTCACCAGAGAAACTGATTTAAACAGCTGCAATTAATAGCCGGTACCTTTTCACCTAGAAGTGGTACTTGAAGTCTGATAACTAATTCACTACAACCAACTTACCTGTTTAGTCATGTTCCATGGTTAGTAAGCACCTGGGTATGGATAAGCATTTACGTATGGACCTGGATTTTGTTGGTACAGTGGGTAATTTGGATAATATGGTTGAACAAACCTCTGCATAGAAACCCAAAACAATAAAAAATAAGAATAAAGCAAAAGAAAATCACAGGAATTTATAAATGTTATTAAAATATTATGAGCAAATGTAACATATATATATGTAACACACACATACACACACATATATATTATATATATGTATATATATATAATATATATATATATATATATAGAAAGAGAGAGAGAGAGAGAGAGAGAGAGAGAGAGAGAGAGAGAGAGATATTCCAGTCATAAAAAATAAAACTCTGTCATATATGGTAGTATGGAACTTGAATGTGTTATTTTACAAAAAGTAAGTATGGAATACAGAAAAACATTATATCTTCCAACTTTTAAATAGCAACTAAAAAGTTGATTTAAAGTAAGTAAAAAAAGTAGCTATTAAAGATCAGGGGTCATATGGTGGTGAGAGGGATGGAGAGAAGATGGTTTATGGAGACTAGAGTAAAGTTGAGGAGGTTGAAAAATTTGCTCTATTCTGTTGCATCTTAAGATGAAACTAAGGAAAACAAAAGAAAATGCAAATTTTCAAAATACCACTAATATACTTTTAAAAACTGTGTGCTATTTGTAAATCATGCTATTTTTTCCTTCCTCTATTCCTCTTTGATGACTCCATAGAGACAATATTATCCACACACGACAGGACTGATACACATACAAATTCACAGAAGCTGATAGCACACAAAAGACCTGCATCAGTTCAAACCAGAGAAAATCCCAGCATGGAGCAGGGAAGAAGACCCAGTGTTCCACCTCTAACCAAGGAGCTATTTACAATCTATATATTCTGGGAAAAGGAAAATTAGTTTTCTACAGTGAAGTGTTACTGCATATATCAAAAACATTTTTAATGTTACCCAAAGAAAATACACGTTTGAGTTAAGAAATATGCATAATATATTGACCTTCTCCTTCCACATTGTAAGCAAGTAGTGAAAAATCCTATCAAACCTCACTAACATGTGCAATTTAAATCCTGCCTTGCTGTTGACCCTTTTATCTACAATGCTGACTTGGATGGAAAAGTTAACATTGACTATTATGGGAGAAACAAACTTCTGATTGTATCCGAGGCCCCCTCCAGCATTGGGAAATCATGTCCTGTACTTTAAACCTAGTCAAGAGAATACAACAGGGGATTAAGTGGAGATCATAGACCCTAGAGGATAACAATTGCTGCTGTTGTGCTTAATGGACATGATGTTGAGTTGTCTTTTTAATATTCAACTTTATACTCAGAGACTAATGCTATTTTCTGCCTTCCTTAGAGAAGCAAAATTGGGCCATGATTAATGCAGAGGATCACAACTCTTCAAAGTGCCAATGACATGGAACTGTGGGAAGCTCAACCCTAAATGGCTTATCTACATCAGTGTAGATAACGCCTTTAGTGTTCTGGGAACATCCCTGAAGAGTGAGCAGAAAGAACATGGGCTAGAGTATTATGAGGAGTAAGGCAAGACAATGCCTTCTGGATGGGACATAGCTATTGAATTCACGAACTTCACTGTGTTTCCTGCAGAAAACCTTCACAGGATAGAATATTTTCTTGCCGGGTTTGAGGGCTACAGTAAGCAAGCTCTTTAGCGAGAAACCCTGGCAGTTACTTGGTATTGTGAGAGAGTATACCATTTTCTTCAGTGGTGTTGCCTCTGATAAGCTGCTCATGTTCTAGTAATAACCCTCACTCATGCTCATGAAAGCAAGGACAATTAAACCCATTGTGTCAGAAAGGCGGAAAACCACCACCAACAAAATAGGTGTATGAGTGGGAAAGAGGATTTTGGTAGAAGATAGGAGAGAAAGAGAGTATAGAATGGGGTTAAAAACACTCATGACTCAGAATATACATGTGTGAAATGTTAAAGAATAAAATCACAATAAAAAACAATATAGGATATTGAAAATACATATTAGTAAGATGTAAAATCTAAAAGGAATTTTTTCATTTAATATTATCAAGTTAACATAATTAATTTGATCAGTCACAATCAATGATGAAGTAATTGGTTTAGTTCTAAGAATATTTGGCCTTTTGTAATCCAGCATATGTTTTATCTAAACAATTCCTCAGAACATTTTTCATAGCATTAAAAATTATAGAATGTAACATACATGTTAGTCATGTATGGCAATCATGTCACTTATAGAGTGGTATTGGTCATTCCTGTAAAATAAATACTCAGTAAAACATGTACTGTATAATATAATTACCTCACGGAATTTTTTCTTCCAACGTTTCTGCATAAAGTAGAAAAGGATTCAAAGTTAGTGCTTGTTTGATGATGTTAACTATGAAGTTGCTCAGTGAATGTGGGTATCTTACCTCTCCAGAATGATCAGCACTCTGGGTGAAAAAAAAAAAACAAACAGAATGTAAGAATTTCTTTATGCTCATCTTTTACTTAAAGATGGATGTAAAATTGCACTAATTCCTAAAATTACAGTTAACAAGTAAAATAAACAAAAACATCTGGAAAGAGATTATGCTACATTATCATTTTTGTTTAATAACATTTTGGAAAGAGTGTAAAACAACAAACTTTTAAAAACTGTATTACTTCCAGTTCTTTTTTTAAATGTGCGAAACAAAATTAAATTTCATCACCATGGCTAGAAATATAAAAATCAAGGTTAAACCTTTGCACATTTTAAAGATATATTGTAAGTTTCTCAAAATATGTTGATATTTAAAAATGTTTATTTGGATTAGTCTATGATTGTGCATACATATTGTAAAAATTAAGTTTTTTTCTATAACAATGCAGCAAATGTTGTAAACTGGGTTTTATTAGTAATTGCTATAGGATAGGGTCATTTCAGGTTCCCTTTCCTCAGCTGCCCAAGGGACTAACTGGGGACATTGCCTTGGGCTCCTGGGAACCACTCTAGGTTCAAGTCTCTTGCCAACCTTAAGGTGGCTCCCTTAACTAAGGATTGTGCTTCCCTGCTCCCCTATCCAGCCTTCCTTTATCCCAATCATCCTGTTTCCCCAAGTTCCCTCCATCCTCCCCTTCTCACTTTTCACTCCCCATCTCCCCTTACCCCCATCCCACCCCACCCCCAAGATCCCAATTTTTTCCCCAGCAATTTTGTCTACGTCCCATAGCCGGGAGGATAACTATATGTAATTGATGACCTAAAATATTCATAGATTGTTTCATGCATAAATTTCAGTAACTAAATATATAAAGGAAGAAAAATGGTACTGTCTTCCAGATGCTTGTAGGTTTTGTTACAGTAAGTGATAGAAACCATCATTAGTTCTGGGGACATTAGTTTTTTACAGTTAGGATTGTAATATGACGCCTGGGAATAGTACTGTATGCTCTACACCTTTGTATATGTAAGTTAATTCAAGGAAAACCGACAGGTGAAATGTTAAAATGAAACAGACATATCCATACAAATCAAAATAAAATCCAGGTCACTTGGAATAGGATAAAACCTAGAAACAGTTTCTGAGAACATGTCCTACCTACTTGGCTTGTGTACTTACAATCATGGAAAGCATGACGGCCATGATAAAGGCGAAGAAAAGAAACCTCATGTTTGGTTGAGTCCTTTGAAAAACAAAGGCAAAAAGTCAGTAACACATTCATCATTCATCCCCAAATTTACACTCACGGTGTTTGTATCACAGTGTACTCTAAAACCCTGAAAAACATACTGGAGATTAAAAGACAAAAGAAACACATTGCCCCACTCAGGCAATGTAGGCATTAGTTAGGGATACTGATGTGAATGAAGGGATGTTATGGAAACAAAACCCTAATGCATGAAGGTGCATGAATGAGCATCTTACAGAGACTAAGTGAATGGGAGCATAAGTAAAGAAGAGAGGAAATTCTGAATTGTTTACTCACAATGACTAAAGTGAATATCATGAAATGTCAGGATAAAAAACAGAGTAGGAGATACATCACTAATACCCAAATAATTCAGCACATGAAGAGGACAAACTTTGAAAAATTTAAAACCCAAGTTTTTTGAAATTTTATAATCTTGAGGTGGAGATGAGAAAAGCTCAAGTTAACAAAGAGCTAATATGTAGAAGACTTCTAAAAGTGTTCATTTTAAGGATTGCTATGTGCTTACATTATTATTAAAGGTGATCATAATTTTCATTGATTTTCATAAAATCACAACTGATTATTTCTCGCCACACTCAACCTCCACAAATTTTGATAAGAATGTTATCTTTTCCCTAGAATTTTGAGTTAATACATAAGCTATATAAAATCAGTATTAGAAGATTTTAAAAGGGGGAAATTTTGGGTCCTGCCACTGAATATGGATAAGTAACATAGCCTCATAGTTTCCATCCTTTATTTATGCACTGATAGCCAGGCTTGCTTAAGGAACTGATACTTGAACTCACCTTTAGATTTCAACATTTTTTGTCCTTTTTAAACATTTATACTAGTTTAAACCATTATAAACATATATAAATATGTATAGATCATTTGAATTACTTTAATTATCATTCTCATAAACTGAGAATTATCATTCAATTCAAACAATTTTATCACACAAATAATTCCCTTGACACCTTATGGAAGATCGTACATAACATTTTACCTTTATCCAAGGTGAGCCTGAAGTATCGGATCAGTGGAGCTGAAGCCTTCCCCAGAGTGCTGAGGTATTTAAACGCACTGAAATAGCACCTTTGTTTTTCTAAATGATGCCAGTATGAGATCATGTCTAGGGGACTAAAAAGGATGCCCAGTTCTGTCTTGGAAAACACCAAGAATTAATTTAAGAATGATATTTTAGCAAGAGAAGCGTATGAAGGTCAAGTTACTAGAAAACACATAGAAAGGGCACATAAGCAATTAATTCCTCTGCTGGGAATTAACGACTAGTATTAGGAATATTCATCAACTACTAAATAGCAATAATTTAGGAATTTTAATAATAAGAAAAATAATTTATTAAGAAAAACATAAAAGAAATTAGTATATTAAAGCTGTGTGCCTGCAGAAAAGCATCTAAAACTTTCTCTATAGAGTAAACAAGTGCCCTGTTCAAGTGCTAACCCTTCTGCTAACTCACACATGTTAAAAAGGTCCAGGTGAAATAAATACTTCAGCCATTGAGTTTAGTCTGTGCAGTGTGTGTGTGTGTGTGTGTGTGTGTGTGTGCATAGTGTGTGTGTCTGCATGTGTATGTGTTTATGGGTGTTGCCATGTGTATGATCACATTTATATATGTAGGTGCATGGAAATCAGAGGTTAACTTTGGATAACTCTCTTAATTGCATTCCACTTTTTATGCTCTCTGACTTGAACCAAGATCTTGATAATTCAGCTAATGCAGCTCATCAGGTTGCCCTGGGCATCCCTGGCCCCTACTTCTATGCACTGGATACAGGAAGCCTGCCATGCCTATCCATATCTAGCATGGCTGCTGGAATACAAATTCTGCTTCCTTTGCTTGCACAATTTTTTTAGACACTGAGACATCTCCCTGACCCCAGTTATTACAAAGTACTTTCTAGATGCTATCATAAAATTCTTATTTTAACTTTGTACAATGGCTTCAGAACATCTTCCAGTATAAGCAAAATGCGTTCATTTAAAAAAAATTAGTAATAGATAATACTTTATCTAAGATGGTTCTTAATATGAAATGACTCTAGATATTTTAGGAGGTTTGTATGGTAAATCTCATGTCGTAGTGGCTGTATTGGCATTCTTAGTTTAATAATTAAATTAATTTATTTTAGTCTTTAAGTAAATCAGGTTCTAAAAGGTAGTGCTTTTTGACAAAATTATAGTAGACAAAAAATTTTAACCTAATCCTTACAAATTCAAAAAGTAAACAGTACATCAGCTTCCAATTTCATAACTGAATGTTATGTGATTATTTCAAATTTAGGTTAAAATTTATGGTTCCTACATTTGTTTCTGAGTGCGGCATATGAATCCATCATACTCAGAACAACCTTGTACCCTGTGGCGAGTGAAAACTTTAGCCTTTTTTCTTACTGTGATATGGAGAACTTGGGAGTGTAAAAGGAATCCCCACTTTAATAACATTTCCAGGTAACTCTCTGAATGAGAGCTAGCACAAACATTTCAATATTTAACATGGATGTCATAAACAAACACAAATCTAATTTGATGTTAAGTGTTGAAGGAAATGAATACGAAGCAGATCTTCTCTGATTTGTTTTCAAGAAAATCTTGCTTATTTTCTGGCTGGTGACTGATTGCATTTTATTAATGTGTTAAAGCAATGGCTCATTGTGGAAAGCCCTTGCCTTGAAAGCATAAAGATTTGTGTTTCCCCCAAACAGCATATAAAATGTTGCATGTGTCTGTGTACACTTGCATGTGTCTGTGTACACTTTCCTGTCCAGTTCTGAAATGGCAAGGGCAGGAAAATTACCAGTGACTGCCAGTGAGCCTGCTTAGTCTAATAGAGGAGCCCTAGGAAAGTGGGAGACCCTGTCTCATCACAGCACCTGTACCTCAACTAGTGGATTCTGAGGAAGGGGGGGAGGGGATTAGAATAGAGGAACAGGAAGTTGGCAGTGAGACTGTTTTTCCTAGAAATATCACTGCAGCTACATGCTTAGAATTGAATTCAAGATCCAAAATGTGAACAAGGAGGGAAGAGTAGCCATGCTAGGGTGGAAGTGGGAAAGCTAAGCAGCCTTCAACTCTATATATGTAAAAAAGAACTGCCTGCAAAGAAAGGCTGAGAGGGGAAGAAATAGTCTTTCCCAGGGATGTGGTCAGGCCTGAATCATAAACATAACAGTGAAATTATATGGAATTATCAGGCTGTATTAATGTATTTAGGAGTGTATATATATTCACACACATATATGTATATAATACAATAGAAAAGGCATGAAAAGAATTTGAGATAGCACAAAGGTTGGTACATAAACAAGATTAAGGAGAAGAGAAGAAGAGGAAAATTATGTACTTATATTTAAAAAGAAATCATCGTTTTTATATATTACTTATATATTATATAATCATCATATACAAGATATACTTGTTATATATATATATATAACACATATATATGTTATATATATAAAACCATGAAAACAAAGCAAACTGCCAGTATCTGAGGGACAACACAACATCTGATGATTTAGTCTGACCTTTTACACACACATACACACACACACACATGTGCAAATTCATAAAAAATAGCTTTTTAATTCAATAACATTTGATTTTATCATTCTTATGATTTTTAATATAATTTGAAGCTAAAACAAACTGTATAAAATAAATCAAATCCATAGAATATTGTCAATGTACAAAAGACTGATAGTGTTGTTTCATACCTATTAAAATAAAACTAATGATAAAATCTAAGAATTACTTATGTCATTTTGAAACTGTCAATGATGTTTCTCTCCTTTTTATATTGTTTTATTCTTAATTTTTGTAATTTCAATTATATTTTATAATAATTTAGCCACTCTAATTTGGTATGGTTGTAACAGATATATGATATGTACAACATAGTGAACAATGGCAAATTAATGATCCAAAGGAATTGTCAAGAGAAAGTTCATACACACAGTTACGCACTTTGGTTATACTTGAATCACTTTGTATTTATTCAGGAAGAACAAAATGTTATTATTCTAACACCCATTTTCTCTTTCAAAAGCGAAGAAGATCAGAGATTATTCATGACACAGGAAACGGAAATAGTGGGTTCTAAATAGTACTGACCTTCTTTTGTTAGCTATCATTTCATAATTCATAATAAAAGGTCATTTGAGTACATTGATGACATTGAACATATTTTGGTGTTTATATTTAATAAAGCCTATATGCATCATTTTCTTGTCATTACACAGCATACTCCTTGAAAATGCCAGATCATCTTTTATTAGATATATCAATAAAAGGGCACAGGAATAACACAGGTGTGACATTAAAGTGGTAGCTTCAGATTACAGCACAGGAATTGATATTATCAGTGATATTTAAACAAGTTGTACTTCTTCCTTTTCCTCATCTCTTTTCATTTATCCTGAGAACTGATGCATGTTACAGGAAGTATTGAATACTTGGGATGCTTACTAACCTCAAATATATTATTTTCTTGTTAGAAATCATGAAGTAGAAAATTCTGACAAATATACAGTATTATATCTGTGTGATAAATATTATATAGTCTCTCTGGTACTAAGGACACTTGATGATAAACTCTGTTTCTTGATTTTAGTGTCTTATCATACAATTAATGAAATAGGCCTGTTACAACAATCAGTTTAAAGGTATCACAAAGTCAATTGCACATGTTTTCATTTTGGAGCAACATGTTTATACTTTTGATTGTATTTGGGCCTTTATGAATCTTTGACTATAGATAAAACCCTTCAAATATAAGAGGCTATGAGAAAAGCCTTCACGGAATCATGAGTGAAGTAGTTCGAGACAGAGCTCATACATAACCTTGATGTAATATGATGGAGAAGAAGCTAAGGAACAGAGGAATAATGCAAATGTTTTGGAAGCAACAGAAATGAAGTTTCAAGAAGGAAAGCTGATGTCTGTTAAGCAATATTATATTGACTTTGGATAATCCTTAATGGGAGGAATTTAAAATTTTAATACAGTATGTATAAGAATGACCTTACATTATATTTCAGGGAACATGTATGCAAACCTAAATGGTTAGTATTATTTTGATGCCACATAGGCTTCTTTCAAAGTAATGATCATGGAAACAATTCTCCATTGAGTAATAGAAGACATGAATGAGAGGGTTAATGTTTACAGATGGCATGTGCTATATATCAAGTCTCAAAACTGGGAGAAAGTTAGAAATTAGATTAGATGTAGATTCCTTTACAGAATGTTGAGATTGGGAAGTTTAACGCTGCTGTAATAAATGAGCTGAGTGTATTCATTCGTTTCTTCTGGAATTGACTGTTGGGTAGCTGAATTAAACATTCCATGTATTTAAGCATTATGAAGGTAGCTAATTAGCATTTAATAGAAAAATGTAGAAGAAAAAATAACAGGAAAAATGTAGTCAGTAATGTTTAGCTCTACTTTTAAAAACATAAACATCCCAAGGGTAGTGGATCATACCTATAATTGCAACATATGGAGGTCAGAGGCAGGTGAGCTCTATGAGACTGTAGCCAGGTGGTCTATATAGAGAATTCCAGAATAGCTGGAACTATATAACAAAACCCTGTCTTGAAAAAAAAAATTGTTCTTGCAGTTTTAAATTTTGGTTGAGGAAATAAAATAAGTATGTATTTCTAGGGTTACTTAAATCCCGAGGTTCATTGGGTTAATTTCATATGTTTTATATATGTACACAGTGATAGAAATAAAGCCTTGAATTCAAAAAGAGTGATTTTTTTCATAGAATACAATTAAGTGTGTGGAGATCTAAGCTCATTACTCTTTCTGTAATGTGAAAGAGTGTTTTCTTAACCTTTGTCTTCTTTCCATATTATACATAATAGACGCTTTTCAAAATAGAAGGTTTAAATTATTTTCCTGGTATGAATTCCTGGCACAATCCAACAACATTATTAGACACTGAAGGAAGTGTTTTGTTCCTTTTGGCAGATAGATGTGAATAGTTTCTCTTTGTCCTGCCTAAGTGAAAGGATTCCAAGCACAATGGG